GAGTGGCTGGGCCCTTGAGCCATGGCCGCTGAGCCTGCGCATCCGGAGCATGTGCTCCGCAGCGGGAGAGGCCACGGCAGTGAGAGGCCCCCGTAAAAAAAAAAAAAAAAAAAAAAAAAACAGTTCACATTTTGATATTAGGTACAATTCAGACACTTTGCAGAGTCGCTCATACTCATACAAGGGGGAACTTTGAGTGTTTCCACTTGATTTTAGGCAAGCGATCAATTGATATACTATGTTTTTGTAGCTTGAGATTCTCCACAGAAAATTACTCAGGCAGAATAGATATTCTTGGAAATGAAATTATGCCCATAAAATCCCAATCCTTGAGGCTGCAGATTAGGAGGTTTCTGACTTTGGCATATTCAAAGACTATGTCCACATTCTCTGACAAACCCTCAAGGTAAAAACGACAGACAGGCATGGACTGTAAGTTGGGTGTCAAGGAAGCTCAGTTTCAGAATAAGTTGGGACTTACGTAAATGCTGAGTACAACAGAACATGTTCATAATTTTATAGTTCTACCAGAGCATTTTGGTAGAATTTTATAGTTCTACCAATAACACAACCTAGTGCTTGCTGTAGAAGACATGGTCTTCATTGCAGGTGAAGAGAACAGAGCTTAGTTGGTCTATAACTTCTCTTCAGTGGGGCTGGACAGGATAAAACGAGCCTGGTTAGATAGGAGTGGAAGTCGGGGAGCTCTTGAAAGTGGCCTGCCCAACGTTCATTGTCCTTTCTCTCAAACTGAGTGGTCCTCTTGCTTTGTTCTGAGTGGTAATGTCTCCCAGTAGAAGAGGACTGCATGGTGTATCTTCCCTTGAAGCTAGGTGGTATCATTGCTTTGGCTTCCACAAGGGTGCCTTGACCTGAACTGGATTTAGCTGACTTCTCCCTTTTATTCTCTCCTTTTCCCTTCTTCCTGCCTGCGATGGAGACATGGCTGGAGCTACAACTGACATGTCGTGACCATCAAGGAAAGAGAGACCAAGAGAATGGTACCACATGTAACTTTGACATTCCAGGACCCCTGAGCCGAAGTAGATGCGCGTCTCCCTCCAGAATTCGGGTTAAATGACGAGAGGAACAGAATTCATTTAATAATCCCATGAACAAGAGCTAACTTTTCTTCTGTGTCCACTCTGTGTCAGGTCTTTCTCTAGAACCGTCTCCTCTACTAATATATTTAATCCTTACAACATCTTTATGAACTAGATACTGTAATTTTGCCCATTTGACAGATGAGGAAATGCAGTGTTAGCCCACATTAACACAGGAACTAAGAATTTTGTCATATATCTTTGAAGAGCTTTGCCCAGTGGGAAAGTAGAAAATACATAAAGATGACGTAAATGTAACACCTTCTGTTTTTTGGACCTCAGTTCCAAAAACATATGTGAAACATGAGTCTTGACTCACAACCTACTCTGTTTTTTGGACCTCAGTTCCAAAAACATATGTGAAACATGAGTCTTGACTCACAACCTACTCTCATCATTAGTCTAGAAATGGCTCATGCATTTCTTTGTGTGTTTATAGTCGTCAAAGAGGCAACCACACAAAAACGGAACCTTAAAAATAACCTACATACTGTTATCTGGTTCCCCACCCCACCTCCTTCTCTTCCTCTATCCAGTGAAGCGGCTGTCCTCAATCCTGCGTTCATCCTTTTCTTGTTTTCTTTTGTATGTCGTCTTACTGCATAAATAAATGTTCCTCATACACACACACATACCCAGAATGGCAGAGATGTAAAATTAAAATAAAAGGCAGTGCAGTGGACACAATAAAACAAGGACAGATCAAAAGGAAGGAGCATCTAGACATCCCTGGAGTAGGTTAGCAGCGTCTGGATGGAGGGGTGGTATTTAAAAACTGAGCTCTAGAGGAAATTGATGGGGCAGGGGCTTGAGTGGCACTGGAAGAAGATGGGAAAGTTGGAGGAGAAATAATTAAGTGGGGAGGGTGTGGAGTTACGAAATGAGTTGGCTTATCTGAAAAATGGGATTTTTTTTTTTTTTCCTGTAAGAAATAATAGAAGTAGGAATAGGACCACATCTTCATCCTCCTGATTTTGGGTTCTTCCACTTACATGTGGTTCTGTCAACGCCTGTTACTGCTCTGAGCAGAGAATCCCTGAACTAAATCTCTATTTGACCTTCATGTGCAGGCTAGGCAGGACTATACTGATATTATTTCAAGCCATTGGTTCCCATGACAACCCCATTTCCCCCCCAAATAATTTATTCGCCCCCAATTCTACAACATAGCTGGGCATGGCCATTTAACCCAAGGGGCCTTACGAATTATTGAAATCATCTTACAATGTAATGAGCTCTCATTCACTTAGGCTAAGAACAGACTTCACGTGACCTGTAGGAATTATTTTGTTGAGCTGATGCTTGTAGGGAGGTGCGATGAAAGCAAACTTCCCCAGCCTCCGAGGGAGTTGTCTCAGCGAAGAAGAATTCCTGGAAATGTGGAAAAGCTACAGGGCTCTTTCACGTAAATGACTTCTTGCAGAATAAGAGCAGTTGCAGCTTAAAGTAAATGTTGGTCGTTTTTCCAGTGTCTGTATCTTCCACATTTATTTTCCCAAAAACTGAATATTCTCCTGAGAGTGACTTTCACGGTTACAACCGGGGGTAGATGCCTCTCAGTTTGCACCCCCTGCTGCAGAGCAGACATCGGGACAAAACAGCACCTGAGAGATTGGTCAGGGATTCTTCCATGAAGTCATATTCTAGAGGTGAAGAGTTCTCTACAATGTTAAGAGGTGCAATCATAGAAACTTGCCTTCTCTTTTTCTTGAACACTAAGCCAGCACTTGTTATTTATCAAGGATGCTACAGATTGGCTGTGCTGGGTGTGATACTTACTATAGATGTATGTGCGTCTGAGGGTTATTGATTTTTATTATAGAACGCCCTGGGTACATGAACTAGGAATGCATTTTAGAATTCAGATACGTGGGAATCCATTTGAGTAGGGAAGGTAGGTGAGAGCAAGAAGAGTCAGCATGTGAAGCTTATGATGGGGAGGTGATAAGGTAGACCATTGATCTGTTTATTGTTCACTGGATGAGCCAGAGGTATTAAGGCAAAGAGCCCCAGTGGTTGAAGTTGCCGTCGTGTCTTCCAGGTCAGTAGTCTCTGTAGCATAGCTGTGTCTTCGTTCTTCGGATGGTGAACATTTGTCTGTCTGTTCGGAAAACACCAAAACATAGTTCCCATTTGTGAAAAAATAAATGTAAAATTTCAACAACGTATTACGACAACATTTATTCTAGTTTTATAGGCACCTGCCAACACTGGCAGTTGTCAAAATATTGGAACTCAAATATTAGTGGAATGTCTCACTTGAAAAATACCGATTCTGCGTCTCTTATATTACGCTGTGTACGTTGTTACAGTAGCATAGCTGTGGAGTTGGCTGCTGTTTCTTTGAAGTCCCTTCACATTTGCCTATTTTTTTTATACGTTTCTTACTTCCACACTTTTCCCAAAGGATGGATGATAATAAATCATTCTCATTTTATTTATTAAATTTCTTGCTCTTCTTAGCTAGTAAGCTCTGCGATTGCACGCTCATAATCTCACGCCAGAATTCACTGATTTTTGTTTTTCACTTTCCATTTTGAATCAAAAATGAATTGTATTGATTCCCAAGCACTGTAACCTACTAGCTTCAGTTTTCAATAAGATGAGAGGTTTTATTGACTCTGAAATGAAAAGAAAATTCACAGTTCTGTCAAAGAATTTGGAATTTGAGAGTGTGTTACTTCCACTCCCATTAAAATTCTTCAGTCCATAATGTGGATTGAAAACCCACAATGTAGTTATAAACATTAAACCATAAATTGTAACCATTCCATTTTGTGTGAATATGATATAAATTACAAAACAAAGATTTTACATTTTATATGAATGCTATGTAAATTATAAAATAAAGGTTTTACATAAACATTATATACATCATAAAAATTATAAGCACCCTAGTACTGAGCATGGGTCTTTGTGGCCCCCAAAACGTGATGAGAGGGAACAGGCTTCAGAGAAAGGAGTGCAGGTGTCGCAGCTGCAGAGCAGCCTTGCCTTGGGGAGATAATCAAACTAACGTTCCCTTAAAGGCATGGCCATCTAGGGGAAAACGGAACAAGGAGGGAAAATTGATTCCCCTTCCCACATGCTACCACCCCACCACCATCATCCATTGAAAAGACCACATTTTAGAACAGTCACCGTAGAAAGTGATCTAGACCTAGAAGCTGTGTTCACAAGATGCCGAGAACAGGAAGAAAAATCCAAGGAAACAACAGTGCTGTCAAATGAAGACAGGAGATGTGAACAGCTGATGAAAATTCTCACTACAAGCAGAAAAGTAGAAGTCGCAGAACTCTCCAGCACATCCTGATCCCAGGAAATTCCAAGACAACAGTATTTCCACAGAACCTCAACGTGGTCACTGAGCTCCCCCCGGTCTGGCAAACTCCTCCGCATGCCCTGGCTCACAGCCAGAATTCCAGGTGTCGGCGGATCCATTGGTTGGCCTTTAAGCCTCTCTTTTTCTGGAAGATGACGCTTCTCCAAAGACAAAGCATGTCCAGCATTTGAGGAGAAAATCCAAATATGTAAAACTCCAAGTTGTCTGCTGTGGTTTTTAGCTAAAACGTATAAAACTAGGCAACAAAGAATCTTACTCCACTCCCCTAATGCTTATCAGAGAAGGAATGTCACAGCTGCAGAAGTCGAAAAGGAGATGCTGGGTGTTTCCAAAGTAATATTTGATAAGAGAGTGTTTAAGAAGCGAGACAATGAAGTTATCTTACTTTATTCATTGTGCATCTCTGAATGGATTCTGGGTGATATATGACTGATAATTATAGAATGTTTCCATGTGACTAAATTCTAGTTTCTCTCTCTTTTTGTCCTTTCTCCCTCTTCCATGAATAGTTCTAACTCCCGTTTGTTTCTCTCTTGCTTTCTCTCTTTCTTTAGAAAGCCTTGGTGTTACCCACAAACACTGCAGTTCTTTCCCCATGCACCTCTAGTTCTACCAAGCCTTGGAAGTTCCTGGCTGCCTGGGTAAGTTTCATCATATTCACCCGTATTTTACTAAGTGATGATGGCAAAAGGGAAAGAGGACCCAGTTGAAGGGTGGCTACAGTGATGGGCAAAGCCTCTGGTGATGACCAATTAAGACCGTAAACTAGGACGTTCAGTGATGATGCTGATGGTTGTTGGTGAGACAGCACTTCTGTCATCTTTGTGTGTAATTGATGCTGACATACTCCTGATGGCTCCTTAGATATGAAGTCTCATGGGAAACTTGGGAAAGTAACGTGCAGTAAAAGGGACTCCAGTCACGGCTGGGTCTTCACTCCCTACGGGGAGTTCAGACCTCAGTCCATTCCCTCGTCAGTCCATCCCCACGTCAGAACATCGGAGACTCTGACAGTTACTAACATGTGAAGGATAACTTGAGACTACAAGGACTCTTAGCTCTGGTTCTCATCCATATGATAATATGCAAATAGACATTCCTTTATAAACACATGCTTTAAAAAATTAAATGGAATCATTATTGAAGACCAGTTTATGATATGTACATTCCAACTCAATTTTATATAAATCTAAATTCTATATAAGTTTTATTCATTTTACAATACTGATTTAAGACACATTTGTTGAGTGTGTACTGTGTGCTAAGAACAAACTATTCCTAGGGAAACCATAATTTTTTTTAAAAGAAGCCTTCTTTTTTTGTAGCTTGACATTAGTCGAAAGTTGTGAGAATGCTACAATCAGCATACCTTCTGTCCAGATTTATCTACTGTGATATTTTGCCCCATTTGTTTTATTTTTGCTCTTCAATATCTTAGTATATTAGGAGTGTTAGTCCTTTATCTGTAATAAATAGTGAAAATATTTTCTCCTCATTCGTCTTTGTTTTTGATTTTATTTATGGAATTTTATACCATGTGAAGGTTGTTTTTTTTTTTGATGTAGTCAAATTTATCAATCCCTTCCTTTATTAAATCTGGGCTTTGCATCATTGTTAAGAAAGCCATTTCCCTACACCCAGCTCAGAAAAGAATTTTCCCACTTTTTCTTCTAGTACTTTTGTGGTTTCATTTCTTTTTAACATTTAGATCTTGGGTCCACTGGGGATTCATTCTTGGGTATGCTGTAAGGAATGAATCTAATTTTATCTTCTCTCAAATGGCTGCAGACATTTACAATATAGCCATTCATTAAAACATCCATTATTCCCCAAATGATTTGAGATCCGGCTTCATCCGATAGTAGATTTCTGTATATCCTTGGGTCTCTTTCTCTTATTTTCTCCTCCATTCCATTCCATTCTTTGTTTTTTTGTGCCATTTCAACATCATCATCATTATAAAGATTTTGTATATTCTAATATCCAGTGTAACTCCACCCCCCTCATAGATCTTACTTTTCAGTATAAAAACGTGCTTTCTTTTTTCTTTACAGCATTTTTTTTATTGAATATATTTGACGTAAAACACTGTGTACATTTAAGGTGTACAACTTGTTGCTTTGATCCATTTATATAATGTACTATGATTGCCACTGTAGTGATATTTATCATATTACATAATTATAATACAGTACTGTTGTCTATGTTTATTATACTGAACATTAAATCTCTGTGGCTTATTTACTGCTCATTGCAGGTTCGTAACCTTAAACAACATCGATCTTATCCCCCAACCCCATCCCCCGGGAACTGCCATTGTACTCTCTGATATTTTACGAGTCTGACATTTTTAGATCCCATGTATAAGATTAATCATACCATCCTTGTCTTTCTCTGTCTGACGTATCTCACTTAGCGTAATGTACTCAAAGACCGCCTGTGTTGTCACAAATGGCAGGATATCTTCTTTGCTCTTGACTGAATAACATCCCATAGTTTATATATACAGGATCTTCTTTATTTGTTCATCTGCTGATGGGCAGTTGGGTTGTTTCCATATCTTGGCTATTGTGAATAATGCTGCAGTGAACAGGGAAGTGCATATATCTCTTGGAAATAACTGTTTTCATTTCCTTTGGGTATATTCCCAAGTAGTGGAATTGCTGGATCATAGAGTACATATATTTTTAGGTTTTCTGAGGAGCCTCCATGTTGCTTTCCATGATGATTGGATAAGACATGCTTTTTTAATGAAAACAATCAGAATTGGTGGGACCCTTTAGGTCCAAAACTGCTGTTGAACTTGGAAGCTTAAAAAAAAAAACTTCAGAGGCATCAGCCCACCCAAGCACTCTTCAGTCCACTGACGTCCCTCTGAATGCATTTGTATACATTCACGGGAATACACATCCGTGTTCTGTATTTGCACTGTACAAAGGAACAGCAGTACCTTGACTTCTTAATTACTAATGACACAGGCTGTTAAATCTTCTCCTCTGTCATTGAACAGAACGAGCATCAGGGCTTTAGGTGGAAATGCTTTAGGATTGTCTTTTAGAAACAAACGAAGACATGATAGAGAATTAGAAGGCTTGCTGATATTCTATTCCACTGTCAAACCAAAAGGTAACTTAATGTTCAGTTAATCTCAGGAGGAGGGACGTGCTGTCTCATGTCGTCCCCTGTTGCCAATTTATATGTATTGTATCAAGTAATAACCTCATCTGAACCGTAATGAAGAAGAAGTACATATTTAGCCAAACATTCTGTCTCCAAGTAGCCCATATGTCTAGAGCAGATATTTCACGAGAATTTTTAAATGTGTAAGAGACATTTAGAGTATGTTTTTCGCTGTAAAATGTACTCTCTTAAAAGCTCTCATTAGTTTATCACCATAGGTAAAATTGATCATGAATTGTTAGTAAATAATTTTGAAAATTCCTTTGCAATTAAGATGCTTTAATTCTTATTTTTAGTTGTCCCAGTCAATGGATCATTAAAAGCTTTCTGGTAAATTTTCTGTTGACAATGATTAGGAATGCGTAAATGCAGTAAAATCCTGACTAATGGAATGCCACTGATCAAACCCCAAAATATTTTCTTTTTATTTAAAGAGATTTATAAGGAACAGGAAAATATTTTAGGGTTTTAAAAAATCAGACCCTAAAAAACCAGGATGCCTATTTTGTACTACTTCCTAGTCTTTTCAGTTTTCTTTACTATAAAAAAAATTGAGACTGAATTTTATTCTGAAAATATTACAAATGGATGTATATCATTAATGAATTGTCATTAACGTATAGAATGGCCATACCTTCTTTTTTTTAAAATTAATTTAATTAATTAATTTATTTATTTTTGGCCGAGTTGGGTCTATGTTGCTGCACACGGGCTTTCTCTGGTTGCGGCGAGTGGGGACTACTCTTCATTGCGGTGCGCGAGCTTCTCATTGCGGTGGCTTCACTTGTTGTGGAGCACGGGCTCTAGGTGAGTGGGCTTCAGTAGTTGCAGCACACGGGCTCAGTAGTTGCAGCACGTGGGCTCAGTAGTTGTGGTGCCCGGGCTCAGTTGCTCCATGGCATGTGGGATCTTCCTGGACCAGGGCTCAAACCCATGTTCCCTGCATGGGCAGCCGGATTCTTAACCACTGTGCCACCAGGGAAGCCATAGAATGGCTGTATTTTCATTTTATAAATATATCTTAATTTCTTTTATAGAATGATATTAATTGTATTTGATCTAGACACATCATTTTTTTAAAAAATTTGGGGTCATGCTGCACAGCATGTGGGATCTTACTTCCCCAACTAGGGATTGAACCTGTACCCACCACGTGCAGTGGAAGCGCAGTCTTAACCACTGCACCACCAGGGAAGTCCCTAGACACATCATTTTAGAACATATTGGTGGCATGTAACCCAATAAGGAAAAATACGTTTATAAAAACAAGCTAATCTTTTTACGCTTACGACTTACAGAATTGGAAAATTGCTTAGATAGTAGGATAAACCAATAAGAATATGAAAGAGCACATTTTCAATTGGGTATTTTTTTCAGAAAAAATACGATTAGCCTTCCTAGTTTCATTCTTGTTAAAGGTGCTTATTAGATCATAAATGTCTTAAGCCAGCAAATTTAAAGGTAGGTCAAATAAAAGTGTCCCATGGTACCAGGCTAATTTTGGACAATTTAGCTGTTTCTATTTATCTGCACCATATTTTGCACCTGTCCTACTGGGTTTTGAGTTATTCTGTCCTCTGGCCCGTCATCTACAGGACACTGGATTGGAATTAAGGGACGGATTTCTTGTTCTGAATCAACCTCTGATGATCCCCAATTACCAGTGACCTGTTTTCTCACCCGTAAAATGACATCTGGGCTGGTCAGCATCCAAGACAGTGGATTGGTTTTGTCCTCAGGTAGAAATGGCCACATCATATTCTTTGCCGAGAAGGAATGAAGGCTTAGCTGGAAACAGTATTGGTCATTGAGTCTACATGGGAGCTGAAAGATGATCTAGTGGTGTGCGCCCCAAACACCTGCTCCCGACGACCTCACGTGTTGACTCTGTGTGTGTGTGTGCGTGTGCGTGTGTGTGCAGAAGGGAAGTTTGCCATATATGTGCACGTCTTTTCCTCAAGTACCTGTTCTGTTGATTTGTTTCTCTGTCTTAATGCCAATATTATTCTGTCCTGGTTTTTATAGCTTGAATAAGTCTTGAAACCAGGTAGTGAGAGACCTCCAAATGGTTCTTCTTTGTCAAGTTTTTTTGTTTTGTTTTTAGTTACTCTAGGTTCTTTAAATTTACATACAAATTTTAGAATAAGTTTACCAATTTTGACAAAAAGATATCCTGCTGAGATTTTGACTAGGATTGTGTTGAATCTGTAGATTGATTTGGGGAGAGCTGACATCTTGGCAATACATAATGTTCCAACCCGTGAACAGAGTCACCTTTTCATTTCTTTAGGTTCTTCAAATTCTCTCAGCAGTTTTTCTGTAGTTTTCAGTACACAGGTCTTGCACACCTTTGTCCGAATCATCCCAAAGTATTTCATACATTTGATGCTGTTGTAACTGAGGTTGTATTTTTCATTTCAGTTTTTGAGTGTTCATTGCTAGTATATAGAAATATAATTTA